GCATAAGACTCGCTTTCTTGGTGTTTTGATTGTGGTGGAATGAATGATTGTCTTGTCTTCCCATTTACATCCTGTTTGGAATTCAGATTTCTCTAATCTTTTATTTTATAGTACAATTTCCAAATAGCTTCCTTTGCCCTTCTATTTCACTGTATTTTCAGAGTTGATTATAACCATATATGCAATGTTTGAGGTGACTGACATAAAAGCAGAATGTTTCTGTGTTAACCTGTAGTGTTTCTTTAATAAAACCTTCCATTGCAAAGTTTTGTTTCTTGGTGCATAGGAGGTATTTGTCCCAGTTGTACTTAAGAAATTAACTCGGCCAGTTGAAGTGCATGTGAACAAATTGTTCTGCCTTGGGCAGCCTGACCAGCTTTATTTCTTAGTGCGTGACGCTTGAGAGAAAGGCAAGAGTGACTAACTTTCCCTTTTTTTTTTTTTTTGAGCAAACTTCATGAGACTCTCTTTAGGTTCATGTGGGAAAATAATTCCTTATTTTCAGAAGAAATAATAGAGTGAGGAAGTAAGGAAGTAGACTCTCTTCTGTGACAACCATTTTTATTTCTGGACAGCTTGTGGCAGGATGGGCGGTATGAATCCATGTGGTTTTGCTGTGTTAATCTAATGATTTAGTTGTGCAAGTCAGCGGCGTGAACTGTAGTTGAAATGCGTTTTAGGTGTTAGCAAGTGCACTTGCTAACAGAGTTGGCAGGTTCATGCTAATGTACAAGCTAAGATTAATGAGCAAAGAGATTTTTTTTTTTTTTTTTTAAGACTTAAGCATTTAGGGAGAGTGTCCTGGTGCTGAAACTTTAGGTCAACAAAGACTCTCTGGATCATGTGTCTGGATACCTGTGCTGAACCAAGGGGATACAGTTTTGTGGTGATTTTGGCGAGAGGGTACTAGTGGCTGTCTGTCCAGCTGCGCGAAATACGCTGAGGTGACTGACAGGCTCTAAATGAATACAGAGATGAAAAAGCCTTCTGTCTCCCAGCTGCCAGTTTTGGTTTGGCAGAGACGAGGAAGGACTGAAATTGCCATTATCTTTCTGCTGATGGATGAGAAGTGAATCTGTGACCTCAAGTAGTATGTCTCCCTGACGGCCCCCTTGCTTCTGCCATGGGTGATACTCACAGGGTCTCTTCTCGAAAACTGCCAGCCCAAGGGAACAGGGGGAATGGACCGTGAACGTTGAGGTTCCCGTTCAGTGCTGGGGTTTTCTTTGAGGCAAGCTGCAACACTGCTGGTCTGATACGCTGGTACCTCTCAAGGTGTACCTTGGTCTGTCCTTCTGTAGACAAAAGCTCTGACTCCAGAGCTGCTCAGCTGGCACCTCTTGTCAGCACTGCTCTTCGCTTTGTTTTCTGGGCAGAGGGAGAATTAAATTGTGTCTAATTCTTACGCTTGAAATCTTCAGGATACTTAGTGCCTGCGCTGGGTCCTGTGTTACTACTAAGATCTTTGCTCTCCCTTGGAAGGCTGGCTGTCTCACTTGATTTGCTTCCCTCTTTTCTTTCTTTTTTTTTTGGTTATTTTTTTGTTTTGTTTTGTTTTGTTTTTTTAATTTAATTTTGCCTGGCCTCTCCATGCTCTTAAGGCACACATTGTTCAGATGATAATCATTTGTGCTCAGCCAGGGCATTAGACTGGATTTTGTTATTGCCTGCTGTATTAACTCCTGAAACTTTGCAGTAATGCATGGAAGCACCCGGAGGGAGCGGCCAACTTCATTAACGCGAGTTTTGCAGAGAGGGTGTGTGACTGAAGCAAAACTTCATGGAGTTCAAGCAGCACTCAGCTCCTCCTTGGTGAAGCAGTTTGTAGGGTCAGAGCCAGAAGGTCACAGTCACCCACCTGTTATTACTTCCTGAGCATTCTTGTTATTTGTCCCTGAACAGGAGCTAGGGCAGCCATAACTCCATGCTATGAAGCAGGTCGATGGTTCCTGGGATCTGTAAGGAGAGCACTGATGTTAAATTTAATCCTGTTTCATCCCTGGGAAGGAGTGAGCACACCAGAACGTTGACGTTGTTTGAAGGGCGTTTGCAAAATGCAATTGGTTGGTTTCAGATGAGTTCCTGTCTTGGGTTTGTCCCCTGCCACCTTTGGGTCCTGTAGAGAGACCAGAGGCATGCTTGGCTCAGAGCAGCTGACCTTGCCCTAGGTAAGGTCTGAGACTTGTTGGGATGTCTGCTACAGGCACAGCTCCCTTTTCTGTGGTTTGTGCTGTACTCGGGACCCTGGGAAAGAGAGTAGCTGTATTTCCTAAAATATAGAGTGTTTTGGAATACCTAACCCCCGTCTGGATGCTTGGCGTAAGTACTTCCAAGTCCTGGATCCCCTTGGAAAAGGACCTGGTGCTTTTAGAAGGGGGTTCTTCAAGCTGCCTCCAGCTGAGGCTTCCCAAGATAGGGACACCCCAAATCTCTTGGTAGTGCTGAAATCTTTGGTCTTGGTTCTTCTGCAAAACACCGTATGTGTTGTGTGAGTGGGGAAATGGATGGCCCCTTCTTTCTGGTGTTTCTTGTCCAGCACTGCTGTGCTCCTGAGGGTGAGGTTCTTGGAGGAGGGGAGGATCCTTTCTGTGTACCACAGATGTGCCAGCTCTTAACTGGTTTTACTGGGAGCTGGGTGGCAGCTGACACACATAAGGATAATTTTATATAAGATAACATACTGGCACCTAGTTTTGCAAATTATACAATCGGTAGTGTGCTGCTTGTGATGTGCGAGCCTTGCCAGTACGGGCTGTGTGGCTCTTCAGCAATCCAATAAACGCTATTTGAGGGGGAAGGACGAGGTTTTCCGTGGGCTGTAAGCAAGCTGAGGTTGTTCAGCCTGGCCTGGGAAAAACTGGTCCCACAAAACCAAGGGGCTTTTAAAGACTGAAATAGCGCGATGCCTTTTGCCGCTACTAAGGAGCGAGCAGGAGCTGGGCAAGGAGAGCACTCACCTGCCTCGGTGCGAGCTGCAGGGGCGACTTGTCCCTGACCCCCGGGGAGCCCCGGGGTGAGGCTGGGCCGGGAGCTGTTCCCACCAAGGCAGAGGCTCTGCCGTCCTGCGAGTGTGCCTGCAGACACGGCCGTGGAGGGTCTTGTCCTCGAGCGTGTGCGTGCGCCTTTCTCTGCTTTTGATTTTATTAGCATTTTGGCGTGTCCCTCTTCACCTTGAAACGCAGGTGTCCCGTATCAGCACAAAGGGAGATAAAATTCACTTTTAACGGCGACAATTACACTTTACTACGTTGAGCCAGTCTGGCAGGGAGAACAACATGTGCAAAGCGGCGGTTTATAATGTAATGTCCTATGAGGCAGTAAGGAAAGTGATGCCTTTCCAAGGGGAATAAATTTGTACATAGGCAATACAGCACAGATTTAAAAAAAAAAAATCTTGAAAGCAATGCAAATTTCAAATTCAAATTAATGAGATGTCACAGCTCGACCCCCGCCTGCCCTGGCCCTGAGCTTTAGACGGGCCCCTTAGCAGAGCAAGGCTCTGGGAGCAGCGTTTTGTGAAAGGTCATTTTAGCATCAAGTCTGTTGCATACCAAAGGGGGGGTGGGGGGGTGGGGAGTGTGTGTGCCCCTGGGGGGGCTGGGCCAGCCCAGCGTCTGCACCTGCTTGTTGGGGGGCCTAGGGTTGGGTGTTTTGGGGGTTTGGGATGTTTTGGGGTTTTCTTAACCATCCTGCAGCCCTTTAATGCTGTAGCTCTACTAGGTCTCACAAATTACAGCAGCCTTTCTAATAGGGGGAGGCACCATGTCTGGCCACGGGGGGGTTGTGGGGATTTTTTGGGGGCGTGGGGGGGTGCAGCCCTGTGGTAGCAGAGTTGTCAGGAGGCCTGTGAAGAGTTGGGTGGTTTCAGTGGGTGGCTGCAGGGTGAGTGGCTGGGGTAGCTACTGCTGTTACTGCCTAGTTAATTAGTGATCAGAGCGAGCCGGCCTGCTTTCACTGATTTAGTACTAGAAAGTGATTGGGGGCAGGGCGCCTGGAGGTTTGGGTTCACTTCATTCCGTTTGCTATTGCTACGAGCACATTCTGTGAGCCCTTTCAGACACTCACTCGCCGAAGCCAACACAGGCACCGTATGTTTGTCCAACCCCTGGAATAATCAGTTGTCTTTATTAAGAGTTCCTGCTTGGACTTTGCGTTCCCATAGTAAATTAGGAGATAAATTATATCTAATTATATGTTGGCTCTTTTGTAAAGCAGGCAGCTTGGGGGCTTTTCAGCGTTGTTGATTTGTGTGTTGTTTTGTTTTGTTTTTTTTTTTTAACCTGTCACAGGCCATACACCTAGGAATTGAATTGTAGGGGCAGTTGATCCTACCAAACCTTGAGGCATGCAGCACCACACCCCCCAACTGCCAGGAGCCAGCATGGCTCAGCTTTCCTGCAGCCCGGGTGCAGGTGGAGCTTCCTTCAGCGAGTATTTTAGTGCTTTAGTGGCAGTGTCTTTCCTAAATCCTTGCCTCGCTAGAAGCATACAGCAGCAAATAAGACAGTTGAGGGCGAGATTTCCACTCGCTCCTGCTCCTTGGGAAGGGCGTGAGGCAGCCACACGCACACGCCAACCACCACAGCGTGCCGTAACTCACGCTTTTCCTTCTAGCAGATGGCAAAAAGTTCAGCAGCTTGCTTTTCCAGTGTCGTGCGTTCTGACGAGGAAGGCTTTATCAAGCAGCTTGCTCTAGCACAGAGTCATGTTTTGTCACTTTGCACGGGGAAATTCCCCCAGTAACCTGCAGCACGCAGCCATCCTGGCTCCTGCAGGAAGGCAGCTGCCACCTCCTGCCCGAGCAGCCCTGGCCCCAGCGCTGCCGGGCGCACACCCACCCCCACCAGCAACCATTGCTACCTGCAGTTACTCCCAGAACGTGTGGCCTGACCTCCGGGCCTGGAGAACGCACAGTGTAGGGCCTCCCTGTCCCTGTCCCAGCTTACCTTCTGCTGAGACCGTCAGGGAATAAAAAAAGATATATTTTCTGTTGGAAATAGGTACAGTACTTCTTCAAGATTCTGGACAACTAACAGCCTCCAGCCTCACCCAACGCAAAAGACGTGCACACAGAGGGGGTGTGTTCATTCATTTATTTGTCCAATGTTTCAACCTGACTGAAATACAAGATCAACAAGAGCACTGTACTCCTGGCTATTATTACATGTTAGAACATAGAGTTTTGCACTTTAGACAACATTTAACACCATTCTATGGGGTACTGCATTGCTTTTATAAAGTTTAAAATAAAGATTTATTTTTCAAACATGTGACTTTGGTTTATTTCATACATTACACTTTCTTGCAGAAAAAATAAAATTGTACAACTGCATAAATATAAAATTCTTCCACCATGAAAATGGTTAAAACATTCAATAAAGACATTAGCACCACAGTGTGCGATGCCTCCAGCAGGAAAAAAAAAAAAAAAAAAAGAAAGAAAATATACAAAGCAAAGAGTTATGCCTATCACCGAGGAGAGTGATAGCCTGACCCAGTCTCTCACACAACGTACTGGAGGATGAGGGAAAAGGTGGAGAGAGAGACAGCATTCGCTACAAAGCACAGTACACAATCATCTATCCTTTTTAACATGACTTAAGTTAGTTTCCCTTGCCACCCCTCCAAATAAAATACCCTAACACCACAGAAAAGTCAGAAGCCTTATGGAGTGCTGTTAAATAGAGTCTCACAGGTGGGCCTTTCTTTGAAAAGGAACAAAATAATGAGAAGTATCATGCCAGTTCTAGTCCCATTGAGTATTTACACCTTGGACAGCAAAAGTCTTTGCTCACAAGAAGTAGAAAACAGATACAATACATGGCTTGAAAAATGACCAGAGTATGCACCTATAGTACTGTACACTAAATAAAATACACAAGGCAGCAATACTTAGGGGCCAGAAACACTGCTTACTACAAGTCAGTTATGGAATCATAATTTACAGTAAAAATGGGCATGTCCCAAGGCTCAATTTTGTTTTCTTTTGTCATTTACAGTAGAATAAATATTTGTCGCTATTGCTACACTTTGTTTACATTCTAACCTAGTAAATGCAGAAAGCTAGTGTAAAGCATATAGATTACGTGTAGGTCCCATACGTATGACAGTTTGTTCAAGACTAGTAGGTTTTCTTTTTTGTTCTTTTTTTTTTTTTTTTTTTTTTTAACCTTTTAAATGGCTAGGAAGGTCGGGGGAGGGGGGGAATGGGTGGAGGGGAAGAGAGTTGTGCTTACAATCAGCTGCTTTTTATGTCAAATTTAATATCAAAGCGTCCCTGGAAGCGGTCTTTGTCGCTGTACTGGATGTTCTGCCCGTAGGCCCTGCACTCCACGCGCACCTCCGTGTCGTAGGTCAGGTTGGTGAACTGCACGGCCACCAGCGGCTGCAGGTACCGCGGCTGCAGCAGCTTCCCGTAGTAGGGGTAGTACTGCAGGGCGAAGCCGGCGTAGCCGCCCATCCCGTAGTACTCCACCGCCCCGATTTTGTCCGCATCGTCCTCTCTCTAGAGGTGGGAAAAGGAAAAGGCGGGCGATGCCAGTCACAACCAAGGGCCATCACCCACGCTCTACCTCTCGCAGCCCTCCTCCCTAGCAGCACCCGTGGGTTTTGCAGCCCCCGGCTGTCCCCGACGGCACCAGCACGTCCCCCGTGGTGCAGCCAGGCAGCACGCGCCTCCCAGCACCCGTCAGCCAGGAAAAGGGCTTTTATTTATTTAAAACCTCAACCGCTTTATGCATTCAGAAACCACCGCAGCTTCCCGGCGTAGCACGCCACTATCTTTGGCTAAAAAAGGGTTTGCTGTTTCTCAGCTGCTTTACAATGCCAAGTAAAACACCTCCTCCCTGGAGTCCTCCCTTCAGCCCTCGGTGCCAGGAGCTCCACTACAGCACTTGGAAGCAAAATGGCTACTTCTGAGGATAGCTGGCCCCACTTTTACCCCTTCCCTGTGAGGGCAGCACTACCTGTCATCTGTCCTCAGCAGGGTTCTCAAACTCCGGTTCCCAAGAGGGAAGACAGCCCCAGTAAGAACCACCCCTGTTTTCTGCAGAGAGGGGGGGTAACTACACTGGGACAAAGACTTGGACAGTCTTCCCCTGCAGCTTCCCGACTCTGCTCTACTGTATTTCAACTTACCTTGGCAGCGCAGTGGACAGGGATGAGGTACGGGTTGTATTTTGCCATAACCTCTGGAGGGAGGCTCTCGTTTACTGGAGCCTAGGAGGAATCCAAAACAAGGGGACGTTACGCACCAGGCACTTTTCTGCAGAGTGGAGAACCTCCCCAGCCATTAACCAAAATCCCTTCTAAGTTTCAGCAACGACCGCTCTTGGCGATGGTTTTAGGGCTAGATGAGCAGCATAACGCAACTAGAGATGGGGAAACTTATTAACCCAAGCAGAGCTGTTTCCTGTCCTGTGGGGTACCAAGGCAAGCAAATCCGGCTATTTTTAATTCTGTGGTGTCACTGGGGAAAGCATTTCAGGGCAGAGCACCAGCTGGCGGGGCTTGTTTCTGCAAAGCCCGGGGCAGTGGCAGGAGGAGACACGCTGCCGGAGGGTTTGCCGCCAGCCGGCCGCGCGTGCGGGCAGGACTGGGGACGCGCCGGCCAAACCAAGAGCAGGAGTCACAGCCGCACCTTGCCAAAGCTCGACACCACCTAGGCGGGGAAGGACAGAGGCTGCGAGTGTCAGGGAAGGGTGGGAGTGCCAACGCTGGTGCTGGTCTTTGGTCTCCTGACAAGTGCGGTCGTTTGGCTTCACCGCCTCGCGAGTCTCAGACCTGCTTTACACGCGCCTTGCCCAACGCAAGAGCTATAGGGTCTCTGCCAGGGCATGGAACGAGGAAAACAAATACTGCCTCGGATAGAGACCTCCTCATTGCTAAATGAAAACATGTGAGGTCGTTTGTTGACCAGCCCCTGCTGTCTGAGGCGGTCTGGAGCTCTTCAGAACTCTGTGGCAAAGAAAAGAGGAACACACCAAGCCCTTCTCTTCCCCAGGCAAACCTGCACATCTTAGGTCATCCCACAGCCACCAAGCACAGCACATCGTGGCTAAAATGCACCCAGTTTCCACCCTGGACCGGATGAGCCAAAATTTCTTTTAGAAAAATTTTTTTTAGACAGGCTCCATTCGAAGAAAAACATTCCTCACCACTTGCTAGCCAGACAGCACCATTCCCCGTCCTCAGCAGCACGGACGGCTGGTGGCAAGGGCAGCTTAGCTCACCACCTGCACCGTCTTCCACCCAGAAGATGGAGCAGCAGGTTTTACACACCACCTTACTCAATAACATGCGCTCTGCCACTACATTCTTGGAGAATTTTTTAGCATTTAAATGCATTAGGGGAAAAAAAAACAGAAAAAAAAAAACAAAAAACCACAAACCAAAACTAAAAGTAAAAGCCATTCCTGTCCAGATTAACATCCTTCAGCATTACTGCAAATGTGCCTTCAGGTGCAGCACAGAGTGAGGGGTGACAGGGACATCCTACAGCATCTGGGAAACAGCATTAAGTAACCTAAAGATCTCCTCACCTTTCTCACGGTAAAAGCTGTGTTTCAGATGTATTTTACACTTTATAGCTTATGCTTCAATCTGATAGTTAATATTAGCACTACTTCATTTAATTAGGTGGTTTTAGAAAGGGAGGCAACTCTGCACTGCCTGAGGAAAGCACGGAGTAGATCGGGGCATGACACAATGTACTGATTTTACTACAGATGGAGTCAGTCTGGGGCAGTCCCATGGAAGCACACGGGAACATAAGATGGGTTTTACCACTTGAAGAAAATACCCCGTTAGAGCAATTCAGTTAGCAGTCTCAGCAGTTAACACATAAATAACCAGGAGTTCACACTGTGAGGTTCATTGCTGCTTGTTAACAACTTGCAGTGTGTGGTTTTCATTGCTTTTTAATGAAAAGTATTTTTAAAGCCAGTTACTCAAATCATCTCACGATTTCTCCTCTGCAGGAGGGGTTTAATACGGATCTCCCTCCAGAAACAGAAAAGCAGGCACAGCAAATCTGCAGCCAGCTTGGGCTCCTTATCAGTAGCTTCTGCTAGGAAGGGAAGAGGTACTTGCCTTAGGTTTGAAGCCGATAATTCTGTTGAGCTTGACAAGGATGCATGGTTTGCCATCCCTGTACCCAAAGGTGGGATCATTTATTCCAGAACAGTTTTCCAGCCATTCACGTTTGAATTTGCAGACCTTCTTCTGGCCCTGGGCATCATTATATGGTCCTCTCTCTTTGTAATCGGTAGGCATGTCTGTCACAGTGGGGAAAGGAAAAGACAACCACGTGTAACGTGACCTTTCACTTGTCAGGAACAGCGACACGTAACACTTCCCTGTGTGGTCTGGATTTCCCCCTCGACCAAACAGGTGACGCCACAGACGTGCACCCAGCCACCCGCCACGTGTGGGCTGGTCCCAGACCAGCAAGTTCGCAGGGGTTTTGGTTTTTAGCTGAGGATTCTTCCAGATGACAACAGAACACGCACATTTGTAATCCACTGGCTCAGAGACTGGGCTTTTTTGGCAGCTTTTACAAACAGGTTCCCCTCAGATTTTCTGTGCACATATTGTGAGGCGATAGTCGCATTGCTACATATAATCTATTAAAAGTTAATACCTCCCAGATGTTTTGCTGCATTGCACCAAAGGGACTAACCCTGGCTATAGCCAAGTCATCAGTACATCCCCCGCGGCTTTCAGAGAGGATCAGGTCAGCGCCACACGCTTCTGGGAGTCAGCTGCAACTTTCTCCAAGAAAAATCTGGGAATTCCCAACCATATAACCTCTACGACAAGCTTCTGGGCACATCCCTGGCCACGTCTGGTCTGTCCAAACTAATGTAGTGAGCAGCCATGTGACTGAAACCAGAGCCTGCCCGTTTACCGGCGTGCTGTTGGTTACAACAGAAGGAATAGCCCAAGACAGAGACCACCACTGCGCAGCCTCAGCTCCTGCCAGGCCTGGCGCAGGGGCGCTGGCCAGAGCCCTCAGCTGCAGGAAACAATCAAGACTTACCCCCACAGTCCTGGAATACGATGTTTTCAGTTTGCTGATCAGCACTGTAGTCCTTTAAGAACTTCTCAAGGTTCTTCACATACGGCTCAAAACTTTTGGGATCGGAGGCAGTAAAGGAAATTTCTGTCTTTTGTACCTGGGGGATTTGAGTCAGTCCTAAGAAAAGCAAAATCAGGAAGAAAACATTAAGTACACCTCAGAGCTGCACAGCCTCTGGGCAATGCAAAGCACACCAAGAAGTAACTCATCCTAATAATCTCTATTTTTCAGACTTCAGGACTTGCACAAAACAGCTTACGCTCACTAGAGGGGAGGCTCTGACAGGCTCTTATCTCCTCTTTCCAGCAACAGTCTGGAATATTTGCCACGATGTTTGCATCACTAAGCAGATAAAAATCACAGAAT